TCAGTGACGTCGAACTACTTAGTGCTTGCCAGGGTATATACTGAATACTGGTTAAGTGCCTATGCCGAATCAGCAAGCTGTAATAATGCAGGTCCGTAATCAAATATCTTAAGGCTTTTTAGCCAGTGAAGATATTTCAACTCACACCCCTTGTCTTCTTGGGCACTTACATTAATATTGATGATATCAAGAGTTCTCAGCTGAGAAAAAAAACATTCCTTCAGCGTCAGCTTCTGTTGTTTTGCATCAGTGGTACATAGACTCAGAGTATGAGCTAAAACATGCTTAAAATCAAAGATATTTCTCCTAACTCCTGTATCAGTTCAGAAGCAGTGAATAGTATAGACATGATACTGTCAATTTAAGGTTTACAACTGTGTTAAACAGTAAAAAAATTAAAGCAAACATCCCACTAAATGACAGCAGCTTTCATTGGAAAAAAAAACACATAGCACACAAAAATAAAGTGTTTGGTCTGCTTGTTGAACAGGCTGGTTTCCCACAAAACCAGGCTTTAACAGCTTCCACAGCCTGCTAAGTCAGGAACGTTTTTGTAACTGCCCTCCAAAAAACCCAAGCTTATCCACAAAGGAAAAAGTCTCTTCTAATAAGAAAACTCCTGGAAAAAACATTTCCAGTAGAAGAATATATTACACTACTCACTTTGAAATTTATGCATTACCCAAACTACCCTAGGCATACAGGAACACAGAAGCAAGAGAGAGGATCCAAAATAGAAGGTTTCACAATTTTTACTGAACAATTAGTTTTATTTCTTGATAAGCTGATATAGTTATGGTAGAAGAATTATGAAGTGCGTGTTTATTACAGCATTACTCTTCAGATACACAACCAAGTCAGAGACTATTTGCAAAATAAACTGCAATGGCATTTTACTGGATGTAGGACAATTAACCCCTGAAAATGGGAAAAGAGGCAAAAAATAAAGAGTCAAGTGTGATAAATAGTTTAAGAACATTGCTACACCTTAAACCAGAACTCTAAGATTATCTGGGAAGCACATAAATAATATTGCAAGATTACAGTAAGAGAAGCATCAACTCTAAATTTTATTTCAGGTAGCAAATACTGTTTTACTGAGAATTTATGCAGTTTCTAATTCTAACTACACAACTAATCACTTTTAGTTACATGATTTGAACCTTCAGCTGACCTTAGACACACTCTGCCACGATACAGCAGCAATTAGGAAAGTTTGCTTCCAAAGAGAGAGAAAAGCTGATACAAAATATGCTATTATGACCAGGAGCCTGAAGGATGCACCTCTTCACCATTAGCCTTTAAAATCAATGTACACACATTCTAAGCAGTGTTACAGGTTATTTTTTTTTAAATGAAAGCAATGACATTCTGCTTACCTTAATGACAAATTTGTTGGATGCCATGATACGTCAGTGTAAGCTGGTCCTATAAAAACACCAATTAAAAGTGATCAGTACCATAGAAAAACTCAGATCTCTACACCAACTGAGAATGATTTTTAAAATCTGTTGCTCACTTTTTCTTCAAACCCTATACTCTGCTTTAAGGAAATCAAGGAAGACTCTTACTTAAAAGAGAATTACTTAGCTATGTGCATTGGTTTCTTTCAGTGAACCTCACAACTCTTCATGCACTTAGCATCCAACACACAAAATACAAAATTAGAAGTATTTTTCAGACCAGTACCAAGACAGAGACAAACCCACCTAACTTATCCTCAAGAAGCCTTTCAGAGAGCAACAAACTAAGGCTGGAACATTCGTTTACTACTGTCTCAACCACTGGTCCCCATGTATTCGGGCCCTGGCCCTGCTTCTCTTTCAAAATAACAGCTTCACATAAAATCCCTTTGCATAGCTTAAATAAAGAAAATAATGAGGAAGAGGGGGAGGAAAACACACAAAATTAAAAAACATATTGTTTTCAAGAAAAAACAATCTTCATGCATGAAATAATACCTTCTCTAGTCAAGACACTCCTAAAATCTCTCTACATAAAGTTAATCCCTTCCTGTTTTCTGGATACTCTTGTTTCTACTTAGCTAGGCAGCCCACAACCGCCTGCATACAATGGCCCTGTAGAACTAATACCCTCCATCACACTCTCTTAACAAGGGCTCGGCAACACTAAGCAAATTTCAAAATTTGCTTCCAGATCAAGCAACAGTAAGCAAACTTCAGAACTGAAACACCCATTCACTACCTGCAGTTCTGGTAATCAGCAGTATCAGAGTTTAAATCAGTTCAAGAATAAAGCACAGCTGCCTTTTTTTTTTTTTAAATAAGAAACAATGGCTTCTGGTGCACCTAGTATGCATATCTATATACACATTTCGTATACTTCAAATTTTAGACTACTACACGCATAATAAAGCAATGTGACCTGAGCATTATTGTGGTCGCACAAAAGTAAAGTGAACTTTAGGCATAGTCTACTTTGCTTATCCTAAACAGGATTTAGATTGCTTAATTTGGGATATTTAGTGAAGCATCTTTAGCTGCGCAGACCCTGACCCTGCCTCAGACCATTCCAAGTAACTCATGGAGCATTAATTCATGCTGGAAGTTAAATGCACCCTCCCTTGGGTGCAAGAATAAACCTTCAATTAATTGCTAAGATTTTTTTTCCCCTTCTCTTAGAGCAACTCAAACTCAACAATTACGGTCACAGCACTGAAACTACTGGTGAAGTTCATAATTCTGCACATATATGAGAGCTAAACATTCACTCGTCAAAAAAGTAAAATATTAGGTTAAATTCATGAAAGTCTTTCCAGCTAACCCCACAATGTTGGGATTCAGAGGAGACATGGAATGGACCCCATGGTACAAAATTAACATCTACAAAAATCCAGGAATAAAAAAATCAAGATACATTCTATTTTCACACAGAATAGGAACAGAGGCAATAGACAAGGAAGAGACTTGGACTGGACAAAAAAACAAACAGGTGAACAAGGGTCTCAGTATACTGGCAGAAGACAGAGTACCCAACCCATACATTTCAACCTTCAAAATCAAGAAAGAAAACAAGTGTCAGTAGCTGCTGCTTGCAATAGACAAACTGCGACAAAAACTACATTGAGAATGGAGCTGCCTTTTACACGCTGAAGTTTCCTAAAGGATTAGTCTCTTAAGACAGACAAATCTGGTCAATTTTGTAAGAGACAGTATAGGAAAATAGTAAGAATACAGGAAGACATACCTATTTCTCACTGCATACTACAAGTTATTGGAAAGTACTGCGACAGAGCTGCCAAAATTTCAGGATACAAGTCAGGTTGGTGGTATGTGTCTCTATCAGGCACTGCACTTACAAATTTCAAAATGTATTTGTTATCCTTATTTGACTTCGAAATGTGCAAAATGATAAAAATCCACTTTACAACACCGTAGGACAGCACAGATAATTTTGATCTTAAGATTCAACAGTAATCAATTTGAATTAAATAAACATTTCTATGCACTGCTTCCATTCTAAATATCCAAATGCTGAGACCCAAGATTTCAAAACAACTACAAGAAAATGTGAAAGTAACATGGGCACAATGTCATATACCGGCTCAAGGAAAACTCCCAATTACTTCAAAGATTTTTTTTCTCTATATCATATCATTATCCAAACAGTAAGAAACAGAAACAGTAAAAGGATCATAAACAGTGAGAAGTAAAATGGTTGTTACTATTGCTAGGTTAAAATTAGTTTCAACTGAGAACCACTGTGTAAGTAACTACTGAAAATAAACTTTAATATAATTCATAAAATGTTTCAGCTATGTTCTGAAAAAGCTCAAAGTTAGAGCTTTTATGAGCTGCACAGTAACACTAACCAGAAAATTATATAGAGCAAATTGAATTTTCAAATAACGGTCATGCAGACAGAAGCTGGAATACCATGCTTTGTGCGACACAACTATCATTCTCCCTTGCAAAAAAGCCCTTAAACTTCTCTATCTTATTGAAGTAAATTCTGTCAACTTTACCAATACCAATTTCAAGAAACGTAATGTAAGGAACAGTGCTCTGGACCACTTGGGACATCATATTTCAATTCAGTTAGGTAGTAAGGTGCTACTCTATAGAAGTAAAGATAGTACAACAACTATAAGAAGAATCTTAGTAGGAGATAAAACTCATAAATTCTTGAAAAGGCAGCTACTAGAACTAGGTCAGAAGAGATGCTAAAGGCAAACAGCAGTCACCAAATGAAAACCAACTGTACTTCTCAGTTCCTTATAATGGTGTACAACAACACTGTATTCTTGGTGTCCAAGAACTCCAAGGACAGACTACCCACCCCATCACACAAAAGCAAAAAGCAAACAGGAAGATATATCACAGCCCTTTCAAAGCACCACAAAACCTGGGCACATACGACTGATCAGATTCTCTTAAAAAAAAAACAGGTTTACAACAGCATTTCAGGACTGGGTTTTTAATTTGATTGAAAGGCTAGTATCTAGAGCTTTACTATTGATCCCTATCTCCTCCACCCAATCAAAAAAAAAAAAAAAAAGGAAAAACAGTAGCCAAGAAACAGTAAACAAACCTAAAATTTACACGGAATTACCTGTTCCTTGGGATATGGTAGAAAACACTGTACTTTGCCTCCCACTTCCAGGAACACAGTTCACCTAGATTGTACGCCATTTTTGAGCTGCATACGGCCTACAGTTCATGATGGTGCTGCAGGCTTGTGAACCGAACAATATTTGGACTGCGAGTGTTTTATCATTAATCCTTACAGCAGCAATAACACAAAGAAGAGTTGCAACAAAACATGCCAGAGCATCATCTCTTCCCCAAAAGCTCATATCCTGCTTGAGAACGTGGGTAATGCAGATTGGCGGTGATGAGATTACAGAGAGAAGTCCCAAGGCCATCAAAAGGGTCTTCAGGGCACTGGGGAGATGGGTAGAAGGATCAGGGACACAGGTGGTGTTTTCCTCAATCACACCAGTGGCAGGGAAGAACACTGAAAGGGACAGGAAAACTCACCTGATTATCAGGTGGTTCAGACACTGGTGCCCTCAGTGGAATTTCGGTTTCTTTGACCATGGGGAGGTTTACAGGCCTGCTGGCAACAGATGGAGTCCAGCTGTCTCAAAGGGGAAAAAGGATTCTTGCCCACGAGCCGGCAGGGCTCATCGAGAGGGCTTTAAACTAGGTTTGAAGGGGGAAGGGGATATAACCCAGCTCACTAGGGATGAGCCCAGGCATGGCATGCCAGGGTCGAGGGTGAGATTGATAGCCCAGCTCAAGTGCATCTACACCAGTGCACATAGCATGGGCAACCGACAGGAGGAGCTGGAAGCCGTACAGCAGGACAGGTATGACTTGGTCACCATCACAGAAACGTGGTGCAATGACTCTCATGGAGTGCTGTGATGGATGGCGATAAGCGCTTCAGGAGGGATAGGCGAGGAAAGACAGGCGATGGGGTGGCACTGTATGTTAGGGACTGCTTCGATTGTACAGAGCTTGACGGTTGTGATGACAAGGTGGAATGCTTATGGGTAAAGATGAGGGGGAAAGCCAACAAGGCAGACATCCTGTTGGCAGTCTGTTATAGACCACCCAACCAGGATGAAGAGTTAGATTCAGTTCTACAAGAGGCTGGCAGAAGTCTCACAATCGCTAGCCCTTGTTCTCGTGGGGGACTCCAACTTCCCAGATGTCTGCTGGAAATACAACAGAGCAGATAGGAAACAGTCCAGGAGGTTTCTGGAGTGTGTAGAAGACAACTTCCTGACACAGCTGGTGAGTGAGCCAACTATGGAAGGTGCCCTGCTGGACCTGTTTTTTGTCAACAGGGAAGGACTTGTGAGTGATGTAATGGTTGGAGGCCATCCTGGGCACAGTGATCACGAAATGACAGCATTATTGATTCTTGGAGAAGTAAGGAGGGGAGGTTAGCAGAACCACCACCTTGGATTTCTGGAGGGCAGACTTTGGCCTGTTTAGGAGCCTGGTTGACAAAGTCTGTTGAGAGGCAGTTCTGCAGGGCAAAGGAGTCCAGGAAGGCTGGACATTCGTCAACAAGGAAGTCTGAAAGGTGCAGGAGCAGGCTGTCCCCATGTGCTGAAAGACGAGCCGGTGGAGGAAAAAGGCGATACTTAATGCCTTCTTTGCCTCAATCTTTAATAGTCAGACTGGTTATTCCCAGGGTACTCAGGTTCCAGTGCTGAAAGATAGGGAAGGAGAGCAGAATAAACCTTCCATAATCCAGGAGGAAGCAGTTAACAACCTGCTATGCCACCTGCACAGTTACAAGTCTATGGGGCTGGATGGGATCCACCAAAGAGTGCTGAGGGAGCTGGCACAGGAGCTGGCCAAGCCACTTTCCATCATCTATCAGCAGTCCTGGCTAACAGGGAGGTCCCAGATGACTGGAGGATCGCGAGTGTAACACCGATCTACCAGAAGGGCTGGAAGGAGGATCCCGGGAACTACAGGCCTGTCAGCCTGACCTCGGTGCCAGGGAAGATTATGGAGCAATTAATCCTAAGTGTGCTCATTGGGCATGTGAAGGAAAACCAGGGGATGAGGCCCAGCCAGCATGGGTTCATGAAAGGCAGGTCCTGCTTGACAAACCTGATCTCCTTCTATGACCAAGTGACCCACCTCGTGGAAGAAGGAAAGGCTGTGGATGCTGTCTACCTGGACTTACTTAGTAAGGCCTTTGACACTGTTCCCCCCAGCATCCTCCTGGAGAAACTAGCTGCCCATGGTTTGGAAGGGTGTACTCTTTGCCGCATAAAGAACTTGCTGAATGGCCTAGTGCAGAGAGTTGTGGTGAATGGAGTTAAATCCAGATGGCGGCCGGTCACGAGTGGAGTTCCCCAGGGCTCAGTTTTGGGTCCGGTCTTGTTTAACATCTTTGTCAATGATCTGGATGAGAGGATTGAGTGCTACCTCAGTAAGTTTGCAGATGACACCAAGTTGGGTGGGAGTGTTGATCTACTTGAGGGTAGGAAGGCTCTGCAGAGGGATCCGGACAGGCTGGATCGATGGGCTGAGGTCAGTCATATGAGGTTCAACAAGGCCAAATGTCGGGTCCTGCACTTGGGTCACAACAACCCCATGCAACACTACAGGCTTGGGGAAGAGTGGCTGGAAAGCTGCCCAGCAGAAAAGGACCTTGGGGTGCTGGTCAGCAGCCAGCTGAACATGAGCTGACAGTGTGCACAGGTGGCCAAGAAGGCCAAGAGCATCCTGGCTTGTATCAGGAATAGGGTGGCCAGCCGGAGTAGGGAAGTGATCGTGCCCCTGTACTCGGCACTGGTGAGGCCGCACCTGGAGTCCTGTGTTCAGTTTTGGGTCCCTCACTACAAGAAGGACGCTGAGGTACTGCACCGTTTCCAGAGAAGGGCAATGAGGCTGGTGAGAGGTCTAGAGAACAAGTCTTATGAGAAGTAGCTGAGGGAGCTGGGGCTGTTTAGTCTGGAAAAGAGGACGCTGAGGGGGGATCTTATCACTCTCTACAACTACCTGCAAGGAGGTTGTAGTGAGGCAGTTGTTGGTCTCTTCTCCCAATTAACTAACGATAGGATAAAAGGCAATGGCCTCAGCTTGTATCAGGGGAGGTTTAGGTTGGATGTTAGGAAAAATTTCTTTACTGAAAGAGTGGTCAGACGTTGGAATAGGCTACCCAGGGAGGTGGCTGAGTCCCCATCCCTGGAGGTGTTCAAAAAACATGTAGAAGTGACACTTCGGGATATGGTTCAGTAGGCATGGTGTTGTTGGGTTGACGGTTGGATTTGATGATCTTAACGGTCTTTTCCAACCTATGATTCTACGAACTTATTCTGGCATCACCAATCTATTTTTCGTAACAGTTTGCCATCCACAATACTACTGTTGCAACAAGTCTGCTACTACTGATGTGAGAAGCACCACCATTAGACTGAAATCGTCTCCAAATCCAATTTATAAAATAATAGAATAAAAAAAAAAGAAAAAATATGCACAAGAAATGTTACCTTTGGTTCAATTTGCTCTTCATTGGAATAAGTTGACTTTGGGACTTTGCCAGCTACCCCGTTCTTTTCACTGACCATATAGATAAGAGAAAGGAAATACAGCAGACAGAATAAACATAAGCAAATCCTTAGAAAACCAAAAAGAATACACCTAATGTGTGAACCATCAGGAAAGTCACTGAACTACCACAGATTAAAAGATACCCAATACTAAGACATTAGAAAAGGAGGAAAAACACCCATCAGTTGTACAAGAAAAAAAAGCCAGTGAGCCCCAAAATACTTTGGCATTTTCTGTGTTGAAAAAAACCCCACAAGAAATACAGATGTATTACAATTGCTCCTATTTGGCAACAAAACTCTGTTTCATGGAATACTGTATCTGTTGCAAACTAACATGAATTTCTAAAGGAAACTATACATAAGGAAATGCGAAGATAAGCAAACAGGGCAGAAAAACTTGTCTCAGAAACTGCATATATTTATATATTAAAAAGTCTTGAAATGGTATTTGTGGTATTTCAACATCTAAATTTTTGATACACAGCCTGTACAAGAGAACGTGATCTAGAATTAAACACATAGTTTCCCTGTAAATAAGGCAGAAAAACTTGTCTTAGAAGCTATATATATTTATATATCTAAAAAAAAAGTATGGTATTTTTAATATTTCAACATTGAAATTTTTGATAGACAGCCTGTACAAGAAAACAAGATCTAGAATTAAACATATAGGTTCCCCTGTAGCTAGAGTGAGACATGCTTCAAAAATAGGAATGAGAGATTCTGAGTAATCATTCTTTATTACAGACAGGTGCTTGCTATTATATTTTTGCATTGTTGAATACCTTTTTATTTTTTAAGTTTTGCAATGAACATTCAACTGCTCCACAAAACTTTAAAAAGAAAATTATTAAACACCTTTCTGTATGGAGATTAGGCATTAAAAACTTGTCTTTTGGCTACAGCTGTAAACTGCAACTAAGCACAAAATTAAAAATAAACCCATCCATTAACACATGAACATAACACAAAATGCTCTTAAGAGCGACTGCAAGAAGAGCAAATACAGGAAAGGTGCAGATTAGAACAGCTAAGAAAAAAATTGAGGTCATGCAGCAAAGTTTTCTTGAACTTTTTTTGGTCAGGGTAACACTATCCGCCTGTAGGAAGGCTCAGACAACTGCATGAAGTCACGCAGAGTGACTGCAGCAGGAGTTAAACAAGGAAGAAAAATCAGAGAAATATACGTATTTTTAAGCCTGGCCAGTGCTTTCGAGGTTAGCACTCCGGCAGCCGGCCGGGGAGAGGGGGGAATGACGCGAGGGGCGGCGCAGGAGGGAACCACCCGAGGCGGTCCCTGAGGGAGAAGTGGCAGGGGCCGGCCGGGCACAACCCCCCCATCGGCGCC